GAAGAATGGGATAATAAAGAAAAAAGAAATGTAGAATTTGTCTGAACAAAGACTAAAAAACACCCAAAATGTTGGAATGATAGTAACATCTTTAGATACTCTACTAACTCTTTGATGTGTTTCTTTCCATGATGGGTGGCAGAACAAAAATAGCAGGAAAAATGTAAAGTGCTGTTTACTTTGTGCATAAACCCACTGCCTAAATGCAAAGAAACTGTTGCTTTTGTTAATGAATCTCAGAACTTCAGATGGATTTTAGATGACCATGAGGGTCTTAGAAGGGATTTACTGACACGATCCATGTCACCTCAGATTATTTTAGACTCAGAATTGTTCCAGGCAGTCTTTGATGTAGAACCATTCATTCGAAGTTACAATGGCACTGAAAAAAGTGGTTTACAATCAGTCCTCATATTTACAACTTTCGCAGCATTCCCACGGCCATGTGATCATAATCTGGGTGCTTGGCAATGGGCATGCATTTTTGATGCCATAGCTCACTTAACAATCAACGTGCTTAGCAAAAGAAAATTTGGTCCCAACTGCAGTCATAAGTGGAGTGCTGCAAGCCTGTAACAGAATAACAGTATTGGAAGGGACCTTGGAGGTCCTCTAGTGACTAGAGTCTAGTCCAACGCCTTGCTCAAGCAGACCAACCTACATACCATGTTGTGGTTGTCCAATCTCTTCATAAATCTTCTATAATAAGGACATTGATGAGTTTCTATAACACGTTCATAAAATAGTCTCAATATAATACCTGATTTCCCCCCACGCCACTTTTCCCCCCACTAGACTCACAGATCAAGAGGATGAGGGTACTTGTCTCTTTCCTTCGTAGGCAGAACAAAGTATGGAACCAGGTGCAATGTCCCTGTCTTATCTCTGTAATGTTCACGATGCATCTGAGTAAGCTACAAATTAAAAATAAATTGGGTCAGGAGCATCAATATCTAGACCTGAGTTCTTCTGAGAATACTTACTTCATGTGTTTACTTGATTTCCAAATCATCCACATTACTGTTATATAAGGGTTCGTGCTGAACTAGGGAATCCAAACGTTTAAAACTCTGTTCATCCATGATGCCTATCACTTTAGTAAAGAACAGAATTATTCTCTTTACATGATTGCTGTGAGGCTGAAACTTAACAAGGATGGGTGAATCTGCTAATTGTGGTCAATTCAGTTTCTCGTTTTTCCAGGTGTATTTGCATTGGTTTCTGTTTGCACAATGTCTGCATTCATGGATGTTTTCCCCCTCCAAATCCACACAAAAATCTATGTGCATTTGCCAGAGTTGCCCATTTCTGTACAAACTGTTCTTCCTTATGCACTTTTCCCAATGCACTACTTTCCATTACCATATTTTTTTCCTTATAACATTATTTTATGCCAATTTTCCCTAAATATGCATGTCTTTATGCATACTTTTTAATTTGATTTTAATTTAATGTACGAATTATCTCCCTATACCTCTGTATGGTTTTGCAGTATGTGTGAATCAGAAGATCAAGAAATCATTAAAAAATCCTGGCTTAGCATTATCTGAGAATGTGGTCTGTATGTGAAAAGGATATGTGCAGAAATGTACATAAGAGCAAAATTATCTATAAAATTCTGTTAACCTTAAAAATACCTGAAAATGAATGACCTTTTTGGTCATGTCTACATTCTACAAATGTATCTTTTCATAAAAGCAGTCACAGAATCCACCTCTTTGCCAAAACGATGACACCAGCAATATGCCTTAAAATGTGTGTGCAACATCACAGTACATATTATTGAAAAAGGGTGGAGTTTGCATCAGGTTGGTGCAATGCTACTTCACCATTTGCCACTCCTGTGAATGTTCTCACAAGGGAAAGCAGCAAGTTTGGAAGCCATGATTTGTAAGAAAAAGGAGGAAAGGCTTGCAGCGAAAGAGCTTCCTCTCCCCATTTTGTTATTTTTCCACTCAAAATCCCAGAGGTTTTTCTTTATTACTAATATCCAATGGTTCATTGTTGCTTTCCCTTGTGAGAACATTCACAGGAGTGGCAAATGGTGAAGTAGCATTGCACCAACCTGATGCAAACTCCACCCTTTTTCAATAATATGTACTGTGAT